GCAGGCCTAAGCCAGCAGGTCGTTATCTCCCGAGGGGTCCCAGACTGCGAGAGGACACAGGCCGGGCTGGGGGACCCCCTCCCCCGAGTGCACAAATTTTTGTCCACCGGGCCTCTAGTATGTCACATAAACACAAAAAACCACATGATCATATCAACTGATGCAGAAAAAGCATTTGACAAAATCCAATAACCTTTTTTGATAAAAAAGAAAAACACTCAGCAAAGTGGGAATAGAGGAATCATACTTCAACATAATAAAAGCCTTATATGACAAACCTACAGCCAACATCATACTCAATGGGAAAATACTAAAACCATTTTCCCTAAGAACAGGAACAAGACAGGGATGCCCACTTTCACCACTCCTGTTTGATATAGGATTGGAATTGCTAGCCATAGTGATCAGACAAGAAGAAATAAAAGGCATCCAAATCGAAAAAGTAGTAAAATTGTCATTATTTGCAGATGACATAATATTGTACATAGAAAACCCTAAAGACTCCATAAAAAATTACTATATTTAATAAATGAATTTGGCAACATAGCAGAATACAAAATTAACATGCAGAAATCTATGGCTTTTTTATAACCAATAATGAACTCACAGAAAGAGAAACTAAAAAAATCCCATTTACCCTTGCAACAAAAAAGTAAGAATACCAAGAATAAACTTAACTAAGCAGGTAAAATGTGATGACTCACGTCCTGCGTGGTTCAGGGTTTGGGATCTAGAGAAGGGCCACGTGCAAATGACAGAGACGAGACAAGAAATAATAATTTGGAAATATTGGGGGCCAGGCAGGAAGCCCAATGCAAGGGGAAGGACTTCCACTCGTGCCAAGGCCTTGCCAACCTTTTATTCAATTTTGGATACACATCTAGCCCTTAGTCAGGCAGGTAATTGTGGTAACAGACAGACTGTCTTAAAGGTCAGTAAATATTATTAAAGATTTACTTTGAGACTATTTGGTCAGGAAATTGCTTGAGCCCCCATTGTCTGGACTAAACAATTGGTGCATAGCTCTGGCCCTTGCCAGGACTCAAGGTTCACCAGTGTTCCGGGCTCCTTGTTTACACTTCTCTGATAGTGAAGACAATGGGTGGCTTCCTACATCTTTCTTTTTCTTAGTAAATTTTGAAAAGTGAATGCCGCCTGAAGGATTCCAGTCCTTTTAAGACTCTTCATTCTGCATCTGCAGACGAGACATAAACATATGAGAACAAAAATGAGACAAGCAATAGTGGTTATGCTGAGAGGCAAATGTAATGAGATCCAGTGGAAGGGGTTAAATTCTTTCATGTCCTTTTTAAATTGTTGCCAGGCATCTAAGGAATTAGTTTATAAGTTTGCCTGGGATAATTGTCCAATATGCTGTTGTAATTCTAAAATATCAAGGGTTGTATTACCTTTACCCCAAGCACCAAGAATGTGATTTTTTATTGATTCCCAAGGGTGTAAGGTACTATTATAGGGAACGAGGAGTAACACAAATCTGGGAAAAATTATAATGACACTGCAAGAATACTCTTTGCTCTAGTCTAGGCTGTGGATTTTATCACCCATCCACAAGACTGTAGACTTTAGTGCCCACAATTCAATCTCAAACTGGCTGTCAATTCTTTTTTGTATAGACAACGTCTTAGTTACATTTTCCTTAACTTTTTGTACAAACTGAGAAGTTTGAACACTTTGTATCATGGATGAAGTAGCAATGCCCACAGAAGTAAGTAACATTACGAGGGCAAAGATTCCTGCAATTAACATTCCAAGAAATATTTTTTGTCTTTTTAAGATTTTTACCAGATCATGTAACAGTTTGTAGGTTTGATGAGATTCCCAAGGCTCGGTTAGGTTAGTAGGAACCCAAGCGAAAGCCGGTTGTTTTAAAATCATGAGGGAATCCTTTTGGAATGTAGAATTAATACAATGGTATAATGTGCAGCCTGTGCATGACCCCTCATACAGATGGCTTGTAACATTAAGGTGCATCTGGATGGGGCCTGAGAGGAGTACAAATGGATCAAAAACACAGGCGGTGGCAAATACTGTCTTATTGGGAGTTCCCCATAGGGTATGAATAGAATTATCTGAGCTATAATTAAAACTATACCATTTAATAGGTGCAAGTGCAACAGCTAATTTCCATTGCGTATTCTGTAGTGGCCAATTGTCATGTTGTAATTGAGATCCAACAAATCCTCCTCCATTCCATGAAATGGAATGATTAGCTTCAACATATAGATAGGATGTGTTCCCCTTCCATTTTAGGGTGCGATTGTTACTATATGCAGACCGGTAGGGGCTCCAATCCACAAAGGAAAAACTGTTATTAAGTTTGCTGCTGGTGGGGTAGTCACTATAACAGTCTTGCCAATTAATTTCTTCCTCAGTGGGGTGCCATTCATAAGGCTTTTTCCATAATGGCTTGGTGGGGGGGGGTGTCTTAGTACAGTTACATTTTCTGCACTTCTCCCCGGAGCAAGTAGTGATAGTAGATGTATTTGGGCTTTTTCTTCCCCTTCCTTTGGTGTCCATGCTAGCCAGAAGCCTCTCTTTAATTTTACATACAAAGGAGCAGTGGTTTGATTCTGTGTCATACAAAAGGGAAGCTGGGTGGCGACACCCGTGTAATTATACTTTGCCCATATACTTCCTTGCCCCACCGTGGTTCCCCTGGGTGACCAAGGTGTTTGGTATTATTGGTGACTACATTAGGCAGGGGATCAGCCCACATAAGGGGTCTTACCCATGGTGGGTCAGGAACATAAGTCCAAAATACTTCCCCATTTGCCCCTGGTATTATTACCGCACAGCTGATTACTGCTAGCATGGCAAGAAAGACATTCTCAGGCATTCTTGGGGTTCTGGTCTCCTCACAAATTCGCTCAGCTTTCTAGACCGTCTTCTTCACCATGCCCCAGGTGACCTCTGGGCTGTTTGCCGTCCTCCTCCTTGTCCTCCTCCCACTCCTTATCTTCAGTGGATTGATCGAAGCTGCTGCTGTCTGCAGCTGGGGTAGTTGATTGTCTGCAGCTGTAAGGCATGGCTCCAGGTGCAAGGTCCTCATTAACCTGGCCAGTTCCTCCCTTGGATCTATGTTGAAGTTTAATATTTCTTGCAGGAATCCACACAGGCTTGGGGAAATTTTCTGAAAATATATAAGCATATTCTTGACCAAATGTTAAGAGGGGATTGGAGCCCTCCCATAACCCAGACTCAGGATCTTCCCATTTAACCAGACCATTTTCCTTTGGCTTATTCTGACACCAGTGTATTTCCATGGGTGTCTTGCCATTGGCATCATGAGTGAAAAAATTTGAAGTAATTAAGGCTTGGTGTAGTCTACTTACAGGTGATTTCTCCATATTCCCCCTTTTTTGTTTTAAATAATATTAAGAGGCTTTGAAAATTCTGCAGTGTGCTGAATTTTCAACTTTTTACAAAATTGCTAGAAATGATAGCTTGTGTCACTGAGTTATTTTAACTGAGTAACAAATTTGTCATTTCTTCCATAGAGATTTTTAGATAAGATCTTAACCAAATTAATGTCCCCTAATAATTTCTGAAAGTCATTTAAGGTTTTAAGACAATTCTTTTTGTATTTTTACTTTTTAAGGCCTAATATATTGACTTTTAATTACAGTTTCTAAATATCTGAAGGGAACTTCCCTTTATTTCCTCCCAGACTGATCTTTGAGCTACATTTAGGGAGTTTCTTTTAAAAACTTTTTCTTTCTTTTAAACCAAGCAACAAAATTTGTTGCTTTTTGGATGCTGGCCAATGCTGCCATGCATACGTTCCAAGCAAAAGTAACTTTCTTTTTATTTATGGTGTCTCATTAATGGTGAGATTTAATGCTTGAACAATAATTTTTAGTTTACTTCGTAAATAGTAGCTGAAGAGATTTTAAAAATTCTCCTTGTTCTTTTTTCATTATATACATAACCTTCATAAATTTTATACTTTTAAAATAGTCTTCAAACCTTGCATTTATGTCCTTTAAAAATGCATTTTTACTTTAATTTTTTTTCTGTTATTAACTTGTATATACCTTCAGTTATTAAAAATACTAGAGACCCGGTGCACAAAAATTTGTGCACTCGGCAGGGTCCCTCAGCCCAACCTGTGCCCTCTCGCAGTCTGGGACCCCTTGGGGAATGACCACCTGCTGGCTTAGGCCCGCTCCCCGGGGTGATTGGGCCTAAGCTGGCAGTTAGACATCCCTCTGGCAGCCTGGGAGGCCTCAGGGGACGTCCACTTGCCAGCGGGGAGCAGGCCTAGCTGCAGTTGGACATCCTTAATGCTGCTGAGGAGGCGGGAGAGGCTCCCACCACCACCACTGTACTGGTAGCTGTCAGCCTGGCTTGTGGATGAGCAGAGCTCCTCCTGTGGGAGCACACTGACCACCAGGGGGCAGCTCCTGCATTGATCATCTGCCCCCTGGTGGTCAGTGTGTGTCATAGTGACCAGTGATTCCCAGTCCCTCTGCTGTTAGGGTCAATTTGCATATTACCCTTTTATTATATAGGATAGAGCAGTGATGGCGAACCTATGACATGCGTGTCAGAGGTGACATGCGAACTCATTTTTTTGGTTGATTTTTCTTTGTTAAATGGCATTTAAATATATAAAATAAATATCAAAAATATAAGTCTTTGTTTTACTATGGTTGCAAATATCAAAAAATTTCTATATGTGACACAGCACCAGAGTTAAGTTAGGGTTTTTCAAAATGCTGACACGCCGAGCTCAAAAGGTTCGCCATCACGGTGCTGTCCTCTCCTCTGTTTTTACTCTTTTTACTTATGCTCTCCCCTCTGTCTGAAGTGCCATGTCCCCTGCATGTCACCAGACTGACTCTTGCTCCTTTAAAAAGACTCAGCTCAGCCCCTACCCTCATTCCATCCCATCCCAGGCTAGGAGACTTCCCTGGAATCCCGAGTCCCTGCCTGAGTCACCGTCCCAGTACTTAACCCTTTGACTGGACTTGGTGATTTCTCCCACTACCAGGGGTGGGCAAACTTTTTGACTCGAGGGCCACAATGGGTTCTTAAACTGGACCGGAGGGCCGGAACAAAAGCATGGATGGAGTGTTTGTGTGAACTAATATAAATTCAAAGTAAACATCATTACATAAAAGGGTACAGTCTTTTTTTTTT